CGCAGCGCACCGGCAGCAAAGCACGGAGCACCAGCAGCAAAGCACAGAACGGCTCATAAGCATCCTGGAGCGCCAAGCAGATGCTATCCAGGAGCTCGTAGCCATGCAGAAGGAGCAGTACCGCAAATGCAAACGCCCCCCCCCCCACAGCCCCTGTCCCAAAACTCTTCCCCTTGTGCCCCACTGTTACCTCCAACCCAACTTCCGGGTTCTTCACGCCACCAGCTGTCTCCAACACCAGTATCTTCACCACCCAGCCCTGAAACCCACGACCCTTACCCTCTGCACTCAACCCCCATCACCATGCAGTATAGCTATCCTGAAGTGCAACACTCACTGCACAGCACACCAGACAGGACATACGCGAATCTGTGATTGTACCATTCCCCACTCCACCCCCTTGCCCTTTCTGATTCCCAAGCAGTTGTGTTTCTTTTCAATAAATAGTTTTTTTGGCTTTGAAAACATTCTTTATTATTGCATAGAGTAAAAGATTCCTTAGCCCAGGAAATAAACAGGCACTGCAAGTCTGCTTAGCAAACACTGATTCCTAAAGATTGGAACTACTGCACTTCACTCCCGTGCAGGGCACTAGATATCACTGCTGGTTTTCAGCGTCAAATTGCTCCCTCAAGACATCCCTAATCCTTGCAGTCCCGCGCTGGGCCCCTATAATAGCCCTGCTCTCTGGCTGTGCAAATTCAGCCTCCAGGTGTTCAACCTCAGAGGACCATGCCTGAGTGAAGCTTTCACCCTTCCCTTCACAAATATTATGGAGGGCACAGCACACGGATATAACCGCAGGGATGCTGTGTTCGGCCAAGTCCAGCTTCCCATACAGAGATCGCCAGCAGCCCTTTAAACGGCCAAAGGCACACTCCACAGTCATTCGGCACCAGCTCAGCCTGTAGTTGAACCGTTCCTTGCTGCTGTCAAGGCTCCCTGTGTAGGGTTTCATGAGCCACGGCATTAACGGGTAAGCGGGATCTCCAAGGATCACAAAGGGCATTTCAACTTCCCCTACTGTGATCTTCCGCTCTGGGAAAAAAGTCCCAGGCTGCAGCTTCCTGAACAGCCAAGTGTTCCGAAAGATGCGTGCGTCATGCACCTTTCCTGGCCAGCCTGTGTTAATGTCAATGAAACGCCCACGGTGATCCACAAGCGCCTGGAGAACCATAGAGAAATACCCCTTCCGATTAACGTACTTGGATCCTAGGTGGGGTGGTGCCAGAATAGGAATGTGCGTCCCATCTATCGCCCCTCCACAGTTAGGGAACCCCATTTGTGCAAAGCCATCCACTATATCCTGCACGTTACCCAGAGCCACGGTTCTTCTGAGTAGGATGCGATTAATGGCCTTGCAAACTTGCATCAACATGATTCCAACGGTCAACTTTCCCACTCCAAACTGGTTTGCAACTGACCAGTAGCTGTCTGGAGTTGCCAGCTTCCAGATTGCAATAGCCACCTGCTTCTCCACTGGCAGGGCAGCTCTCCATCGTGTGTGCTTGCGCCACAGGGTGGGGGCAAGCTCCTCACACAGTCCTATGAAAGTGGCTTTTCTCATCCGAAAGTTCTGCAGCCACTGCTCGTCATGCCAGACTTCCATGACGATGTGATCCCACCACTCGGTGCTTGTTTCCCGAGCCCAAAAGCGGCGTTCCACGGTGCTGAGCATGTCCATGAATGCCACAAGCAATTTCGTGTTGTACGCGTTACGCGGCTCGATAGCATTGTCGGACTCCTCACTCTCACTGTCACTTTGGATCTTAAGGAATAGTTTGACAGCCAAATGTGACGTTCTGGCGAGATAAGTCAGCATACGCCGCAGCAGTTCGGGCTCCATTTCCCACAGACAGATCGCGCTGCACAGAAACCGTTGAAAGATGGCGCCAAAGGTGGACGGAAACAAAGGGATTTCTGGGATGTGAAGCAATGCATCACGGGGCGTTGGGACAGGACCCAGAATCCCCCGCACCCACGCTCCCTTCCCACAACCCACGGCGCCAGAATGGGAAGAGGTGCTCTGTGGGATAGCTGCCCATAATGCACCGCTCCCAATGGCGCTGCAATTCCCGCAAATGTGGCCATGACAGTGCGCTGGCAGCTGTCAATATGGACAGACTGCAGCGCTTTCCCTACTCAGCTGTATGAAGACAGGTTTAACTCACAGCACTGTACAGCTGCAAGTGTAGCCAGTCAGGGAGCAGGGAAAGGGTTGGATGGTGGGGTGGGGACCTTCTGGGGGTGGGGGTGTGGAGAGGGGCTAGAAAATGCATCCCGAGTGATTCAAAGGCCCCAAACATTGCTGAAAGAGCTGGGAAAGTTGCAAGCTTTCTCTGCTGGGCTTTTCATCTGCAATGCAAACCTACTTGAGGCACCGCACGGGAGATATTTATTGAGGAAGTTCATACATCTCACAGCTTAAGCTCTTCTAAGTTTGCAGCCATGGCACAAAAGGATTTGGGAGCAGTTAACAATTCTGTGTGGTGAGATTTTCATTTCCTGGGCCCTGCTACCCAATGCCACAGGGCCCCACAGGGGAGACTGAGTGAGTAGCCCTGCTTGTCCTCTGCCCAGATACAATCCCTTCCCTGCTTCTTTCCCTTGTGTTTGCAAGGGTCTCATTAACATGCTGCATCCAAATGCCCCTCCCCCAGGCCTTCCCTCCAGAGATAGCCTCCTGGCTTCTCCTTCTTCCTCACTTTCTCCTTCTCTCTCTCTCTGCGGTTTTTCTCCATGCCCCATCCCTTTGTCTGTACTCCCTCCCCACCCCATGCACTGTATTAAGCACGTCTCTGCCTCTCTTGTTTATGGGCTCTGTGCTGGGAAGAGGCAGTGCTATTGTTGTGTTCTCTGCTAGGTCTGTTTGTAGCAGACTCTTAGCAGTATCCCTCTGCCTGCTCGCAAAGGCTTCTGGCTAAACACTAAAGCCAGGTGCTAGGGCAGAAGCAGCTGCCCATGTACCTTCAATGGCAGGAGCTGTGTGTGGTCCCTCGCCCCCCCCCTTTGGATTACGGGGTGTGTCTTGGTGTATATTGGGGTTCCTGTCAGGGGGCGGGGCGTGGTTGGATCGGCGTGGAAGTCCTGGGGGGTCTGTCTGGGGGCGGGGAAGTCAGGGGACAGGTAGGGTCCTAGGGGGGAAGTTACAGTGGGGGGGTCTCAGGAGGGGGCAGTCAGGGGACAAGGAGCGGGGAGGTGTTGGAGTTCTGAGGGGGGCAGGAAGTGGGAGGGAGTGGATGTAATTAGTAATTTGATATGTCAGGTGGCGCCTTTTTTTATGTGTTCGCTCCCCCTGATGTTAGAACCTGGCTACGCCACTGAGCCCAGGGTGGGAATGGCTGGCAGGTCTCAGCCCAGTTCTTAGCAGACAGGTGCCCACATCCCAAACACTACCCATTGTGCTGGGCACAGTAGGTTTTTTATGAGGTGTATTACAGTAATGCCCAGGGACCCCAGTCCTGGACCAGGACCCATCATGCTACGTATATTATGGTAGCACCTAGGAGCCTCCCTCACGGAGCAAGACCCCATTGTGCCGGGCGCTGTACAGACCCAGAGCCAACAGAGGGGCCTTGCTCATAGGTGCTGGGGGTGCAGGGTTTAGTTTGGTTCACTGGCTCTCAGCACCCCCACTACACAAATTGTTCTGCTCCAAAGAGTTAATCTACATACGAGATGAGACAACAGTTGAGAGACGGACCAGGAGCACCAGGAAACCACAAGTGGCTATTTCCGCTCAGCCATGGGCTCAGCACACCCACAACATAACTGCTGTCGAGTTTGTTATAGGCATGATGGCAAAGGAGCGTGCCGTCCTGTGCTCCGAGCACACCTTCGCTGCGAGCGTCTGGGTCTGACTCTAAGAACATTAGAGCGGCCAGACTGGGTCAGACCAATCTAGCCCAGTATCCTGTCTGCCGACAGTGGCCAATGCCAGGTTCCCCACAGGGAATGAACAGAACAGGTAATGATCAAGTGATCCATCCCCTGTCACCCATTCCCAGCTTCTGGCAAACAGAGCCTAGGGACAACATCCCTGCCCATCTGGCTAATAGCCATTGATGGACCTATCCTCCATGAACTCATCTAGTTCTTTTTTGAACCATTACAGTTACGGGCATAAAGGATGTGGTGTGTGTCTCAGCTTAACCTGGAGATCCAATTTGACTCTTAACCTGGAGATCCAACTTGACTCCGGGGTGGTGGGGAGTTGGGGGAACAATGGGAAGGGATCGGGCACCCCCGGGCACAGATTGCTGCTGTGTGCAGAGAGCTCTAGGAGGTGGGGAAATCAAGCCAGCCATGTGAGGCCAGCAGACAAAGAGGTAGGGAAGATGGTGGACTCTCTATCGGTTTATCCGTCTCTCTGTCCATCCCCATTTGTCCCTCCCCGGCAGCCATATCGACCCACAAACACGGACATTTTACAAACAATCCGCCTTTACTGACCTGCCCACAGCAGTGCTGGGGCTGGTGCGAAAGGCTGCGGCGCAGGGCAGCGAGAGCTTTAAACAGATCTGGGGACCGGTCTTAAAACCAGGTCGAGTGGTTTTAGCACAACTAAACTAAAGCACAACTGTCTGCAAACCTCTCCCCACACCCCCATTATTCTAACTAAAGCTTAAGGCACTTGTGAGCGTTCATCTACCTGACCTGCCAGGAAGCCTAATGCAGGGGCCTTCTCCCTTGCTGGGGTCCCTTCCCAGGGATTGCATGCGTTATTGTAGGGTTGCTGGGGCTGATCCCAATGGGCTGTTATTGGGGGATTGTATGTCAGAGCTCGGCTGCACACACTGGTTTGTTATTGTAGGGTTGCTCTTGAGCCCTGGGCTGTATAAGTAGGGGCATTGCCAGCAGATCAAGGGACGTGATCATTCCCCTCTATTCGACATCTGGAGTACTGTGTCCAGTTTTGGGCCCCACACTACAAGAAGGATGTGGAAAAATTGGAAAGAGTCCAGCGGAGGGCAACGAAAGTGATTAGGGGACTGGAGCACATGACTTATGAGGAGAGGCTGAGGGAACTGGGATTGTTTAGTCTGCAGAAGGGTTGCTCCCTGGAGCTGGGCTGTCGATACTGTTTCCCAGTGTTGTGACCCATCTGCGAAGGGGCCTTTCCAAATAGCTAAAGAAAAGCCCCAGCTCCAATGGCAGCCCCTGCAGTCTCCATGCGCGCGATGTCCATATTGCACTGAGCCCAGGGCACCTGCGTCCCTAGCAGAGGGGGCACTGGGTCATCTCCTTCCTTCAGTAAGCCTGCGTGATGGTGGCCTGGCTCTTGGTGGCCTGGTTCCCGGAGGCCCGGCTCTCAGCGGCCTGGTTCCCGGCCCCGCGCAGCGACAGCCATAGAACCACGGCCAGGATGATCAACACCACGACCGCCACTACCACCGCCAGGAATATCTTATACTTCCTGTTCTCCCAGCGCTTCTTCTGCGCCACTGTCTTCGTCGTCCTGCTGAAGGTGGAGCTCTAGAAGGAAACAAAGCAAGAGCTGTCAAGGGGCGGCCGGGGACCCGCCCCCAGGCCCAAGGAACTCGCCCCAGGCTTCAGCTTCCCTCCGCTCAATCCCTGTATGGCTGCCACTTGTAACGCCGGTTTCATCACTGCCCCCTGCTGGCCAGAGTCGGAACCAGGCAGCTGTGTGTCATGGGGCCCGTACTGCTAACGGGAATTCTCCTTTTGGCCCCGCACTGGGAGCCCATTTGCACACCCATGGGTCTTGGATTCGTTCCCCCAGGAAAGTGATGGTGCACGAGCAGGCCCCCCCCCCCCAATGCCCCCCCCCCCCCCCCCCCCCCCCCAGCATACCATGTTGCGGAGCTCATCTGCTCTGTCGTCCAGGGTGCTGAGCTTGGCCTCCCGGTCCAGCACCTTGGAATAGTTGACCAGCATAATCTGAGTCACCTCCTCTGTCTCCTTCTGGCATTGCTCCAGCTTCTTCTCCACCTGTGGGGAGGACAGGGTTAAATGGCTTCAGCCATCTGGGCCAGCTGCGGGGAGGGTTGGTGGTGTGAACCCAATGTCACATTGGGGGCCCCTTTTGGCCTTCAGGACGGCAGGAATAGGTCCTGGGGGTTAGGGGGAGCTCACTTGTTCTAAGGCTTAACTCACTGTTTCCTGAACTTTGCCAAGCTGTGCCCCCTGGGCTCATCTCTTACTCCCCTGGGCTGCGGGAAGATCCCAGTCTGCACTCACCCAGGCAGTGGCAGCTCCCCACTCCAGGCATCACGACCTGGCGCACATGGTCACAGTGCCACTCGGCCTTGGCCCATCCGCCCCTCCGTAGATGGAGACCCACCACCCCCCCGGCACCCTTTGATCCACAGTTTGGGAACAGATGGGTTAATCCCAGGCACAACAACAGCTGGTCCGGGGACCAGTTCGTACAGGGGGCTTAGGAACCAGCCCAGCCTTCCCTTGTGGTCCATGGAGGAAATGATTTTGAAAGCCCAGGGGTAAGTGGGGGAGGGCTCCCTCCTCCCCACAGGGCAGCATATTGTATTTAGCTCTGCCTGTGATCTCTTGTGCCCTGCACCTTCAGATCCCTCAGGGCCGTGCCAGCTGCAGAGACCACAGCAGGATTGTGTCTGTGGGGACTTTACTTATGTTCTTTCTTGATTCATTTCTCCTTAACTTTGAGACACATCATGCCCAAGAGGCCCCATTTGCTCTGTGCTGGGGAGGGTTCAGCCCCTGGCTGAGAGGTGCTGATCAGAGCACGCTCTCTCTGGCACATTCTGCATGGGTTGCTCATGGAGGACCGGGTGGCCAGAGCAGGAAATATCCACAAGGATAAATTCTCGGAGCAGACAAGCGGATGCCCTCTGACCTCCACAATTCCTGGAGCGATGTTCCTGGCTCCTGGGCTGGCGGGATTCAAATCCCCCAGGGAAATATTCTTTCCACAAAGAGGTAAAAGGAATCAGACCAGACCCCAATCAAAGGGTGGAGACACCCGAGCCAGTCTCTGATCGCTGGGTGGGACAAGTGCACTGAGCCAACTCCAGCAGGAAAGGGGAACAGTGGAGGAAAAATCCTTCAGCGACTGCAGGATGCGGGGCCGGAAGCTAAGATCTCAGCGCAACCAGCAACAGCTGGGCTTCGGCAGTGAGACCTTCACAGAAATGCACAGCATGCTGCAGGGAGCGGGCTGTGGGGCTCAGCATGGGGTGCTGTCCCCTTGCAGTCAGGGAGTGCTCTGCCGCATGGAGCAGGGTGGGATCTGTGTGCCCAGCCCCACTGCTGTGACTACTGCACCCCTCTCCTCTCCCAGAGGTGGGGCTAGAACCCAAGAGTCCTGGCTCCCTGCCCCAGCCCCGCTCTACCCAACAGATCCCACTCCTCCCAGCATGGCCAATGCACATGTCCGCAGCCCCTCGAAGGCTCAGTAACAGATGCTGAAGATGACACCACACAAAGGACCCTGCTGCTCTCAGCCCCCTGGTCCCCGAGCTGGAAAACCCCCAGCTCATAGCTCCCCACAGGTGCCCATCTCCTAGCACCTGCTGCGTAGGCCCCCAAGGAGAACAGGTATGGGGCTGTCTCCTGCCCCCCAGCCAGCCCCCCCTTTCTCCCCATCTCACTGTGGGGGGGCTGGGCTAACATATCCCTCTCACTGGGCGCTGGGGTTGGGGTGTAGCATGCGGGGCTTGGGGTGCGGAGGGCAGGGACTGGGGGGTTAGGAGTTGGGTACAGAGTGTGAGGGTTGGGGTGTGGGGGTGCGGAGTTGGGGTATGCCGTGCGGGGGTTGGGGTGTGGAGGGCAGAGACTGGGCGTGCAGGGGTTAGGGTACGGCGTGCAGGGGTTGGGGTGCAGAGGGCAGGAATTGGGGGGTTAGGAGTTGGGGTACAGGGTGTGGGGGTTGGGGTATGGCGTGCGGGGGTTGGGGTGTGGAGGGCAGGGACTGGGCATGCTGGGGTT